CCAGGTTTTTCTTTTCTTTTTTTTTTTTTAAAGATTTTATTTATTTATTTGACAGAGAGACACACAGCGAGAGAGGGAACACAAGCAGGGGGAGTGGGAGAGGGAGAAGCAAGCTCCCCGCAGAGCAGGAAGCCCGATGCGGGACTCGATCCCAGGACCCTGGGATCATGACCTAAGCTGAAGGCAGTCGCTTAACCAACTGAGCCACCCAGGCGCCCTCCCCAGGTTTTTCTGATGAGAAGCCAGTTTAAGAACCCCATGATGCTAATCCAGGAGCCTTCTACCCTGACAGGCATCAGCATTCCACCCAAAGCCCAGCTGCCGTAGAGAAAGAAGCCACAGCACCTCTCAGGGAGCTGGCCCCCAGCACAGGGGACCCCTCCTGCAGTCCTCTCCCTCTGGGTACTGAGTCCCTGGAACAGAGGTGCTCGGTACCTAACTCAACAGGATCCCTTTCCCTCTCTGGTGCCTGATAGTGTGACCACACAGCCCCCGCTGCACCTGTCACCATGGTCATTCTTCACGGTGCTTCTTTTCACTCTACAGGTTTCCAGTTTGGACGTTAAATCATATAGTCACGCTGGTTTTAAGGCAGTAAAAGTCACTTTCCAGCCGAGCAGGTGGCCCAGGGTGTCAGATTGCAGCTCAACTTTTCTCACGACCAGCCTTTGATCAGCCTTTTGTTCAGTAAAACACACAGCCTTCCCTGCCCCGTGGCTGCCATAGTTTTTTCTAAAATCTGGATTCAGTACAGCTCTCCTACAGACCATGCTCATGTATATCGCGCTCTCTCCCCAGAACCCCTGCACCAGCCTGGAACAAGCCTTACTCCGGGCACCTTATAACCCTTCGTAAAGGTGTAACTCAGCAGTCAGTCAGGCCTGTCCACCCAGGCAGTTCCCACTGCCGACAGGCCACAGCCCTGGGGACGGCCCCAGATCCCGAGCACCCAGAGACCCGGGGTTTCCGGAATAGACCATCTTGGTGTGATGATGCCCAGAACAGCGCTCCCCTCCGCCCCCCGCCCCCAGCCAGGCCCCACGGCTGTGCAGCTAGGGGCCAGGTCGGCCAGGACTAAGCCCAGAGTTTGTGTCTCAAAACAACCCTGCAGGGTCCACCTTGACGGAAAGATGAAGCGAGCAGAGGCAGGGAGCAGGCCGGGATCTGCCAACAACACGCTTCCTCGTGACAGTCCTTTTCATTTTTTTTTAAGATTCTTTTTTTATTTTGGGGGCGCCTGGGTGGCTCATTCAGTTAAGCATCTGCCTTGTGCTCAGGTCATGATCCCAGGGTCCTGGGATGGAGCCCTGAATCTGGCTCCCTGCTCATCGGGGAGCCTGCTTCTCCCTCTACCCCTCCCCACTGCTCGTGATCTCGCTCTCTCTCTCATGCTCTCTCTCTCTCAAATAAAATCTTAAAAAAAAAACTTTTAAGTTATCTCTATACCCAACGTGGGGCTCGGAACTCACCACCCCAAGATCAAGAGTCGCATGCTCTAGTGACTGAGCCAGCCGGGTGCCCCAAGACAGTAGTTTGTAAGGGCTTACTTCCACTGTTTAGCTCAACACAAAGACTATAGTATTTGTGTAAGCTGAAGATCCAGTTGAAAGAATGGTGATTTGAAATTCTGCCAGATAACCCGAAGTTGTTTTCTGAGTTTGGAAAGAAAAGGGAAAAACGCCATAAAGTTCACAGATATGTCTACGTGGCTCTCAGTCACATGTTTATTAAGGAGAGCTGCCAGGATGGGCCATACCCCACACCATGCTTCTGAGTCGGGGCTTGACCCCAACCCGAGCACCACGCACTCCAACACCAAACGCTCTGAAAGAGCACAACTGACCGCAGAGACACACAGGTCAGTCACTGTACATGGAATCTGCGTTTAAAGAACCTACATACTAGAACCTAAGATACTAACCCTGAGGACGGAGGTACTTTTTATTGATCAGTGATGTTCGAACACTAACTCCTTCTCAGGCTCAAGCTACGAGTCAGTGCTCCAAGCTCAGAATTGAGCCGCTCACAAGGCAGTGCGCGCTCAACACCAAGCCCAGTGTCCGCCCCCAACGGCGAAGTGCAGGGTTACGTCCACATGCGTGCAGGGCCCTCTGCTGAGTTATAGGGATCCCCATGGGGCCAGGGGGGCTTGCATAAGTCCTGTACAACCTCACCTCAATAGTTGGAACTAGCAAGTTTACTGTAACTCATTTCAACAGGATGTAGCCCTGCCTACTAAAGATGCCCTGGGCTTCACTTCTAACCTGCATCCGTGTGTGTCCGTGCATCACGGTCAACGTCAACGCTCTCCGGTCGGGGACTGAAGGTGTGCGGAGCACCTGTGACAAGACCGGGCACTCGCCACGACACTGTCACATACATCCCTCACAGTAACCCGATTTACAGCCACAGATCCTGGAAGCATGAAAAGGGAAGTCACCCTGCCCGCCCCCAGGTCAGAGTGCCATAGCCAGAACCTGCGTGCCCCCCGCCAGGGCGCTTCCCGCTGCCCCCACCGCCTTCAGAATGACCTAACTCTTGAATGCAACATGCCGGCCACCTCAAGGACCGACATCACGGCTCTCCCTCACTGTGAGCCCCACCTGCCCCATGGCCGCCACAGCTAAAGTCCCAGGAAAAGACGAGGCCCTGGCTTTTCATGGAAATACTAAAGAAATCACTTGCAAGAGACAGCTGACCCCCTGTGTGAAGACAGTACAAGAATACATAACAAGTTTCAAAAACTTCCCCACCAAAAAGCAAATGTCACTTTTATAATTAGCTGAAAGTAATAAAATCTTAGACTCATTTGCCTGCATTTCCCGGAGGGCAGAGGGCACGGCTAAGGGACACGAGGGTGAGAGTCAAGTGGTACCCAGGAGCAGTGTCACATGGAACACCAGTCTGACCCTGACACGCGCCTGGGACACGGAACGCCCGAAGTGCATGCTTCCCAGCGGCTGCAGGGGGTGTGCTCAGAGCTGAGTGCGGGCCACAACCTTGTAGTTCTGGGCGTGTGTCCATCATCAGCCTGCTCCTTCACTCGGCCTTCCACGCAGCGGACCTCAACCACCTCACTGCTGACCAAGGAGGTGGGCGGCGGGGGGACTATTTCAGCAAAATCTGGGATAGCCAGATGGAGAATTACTTTCTTTTAGAAGAAATAAAATGGTTTTATAAACATTCATGCTCACAAAATATGAAAATCAGGTATATATTTGTAAGAAATACAATTTAGACAGAGTAATGCAGCGCAATTAGAATAGTCCAGAAGAAAATGCAAAGAGGAGATTGTAAGTAATTTTGGTTTCAAAAGGCAATATGGAGAGATATTTAAGAGTGTAAACTCGGGCGCCTGGGTGGCTCAGTTGGTTAAGCGACTGCCTTCGGCTCAGGTCATGATCCTGGAGTCCCTGGATCGAGTCCCGCATCGGGCTCCCTGCTCGGCAGGGAGTCTGCTTCTCCCTCTCCCACTCCCCGTTTGTGTTCCCTCTCTCGCTGTGTCTTTCTCTGTCAAATAAATAAATAAAATCTTAAAAAAAAAAAAAAAGAGTGTAAACTCTAAAGCCAGCCTACTTGGGTTCAAATCCCTGCTCCCTCATCTACTACTGTGTGACTCAGAGTAAGTCACCTAACCTCTCTGTTCCTCAGCTTCCTCATGAATACACCAAGAATGTCGGCACTACATGAATGAAGTGGATCTAATGTGCTCACAGCAGTCCTGGGAAAACAACTTACATATTAACGCCACGTGAGTTAGGAGCTGTTATTAACACAAGGACATGTGATGCAAACAGGAAAAGCAAATTCTACCGGGGAGACTCAATCATCCTTGCACGGTCATGTTCTCAGTGACAGCACCAGGCACGCACTGTGCTGGACAAGGAGGAAGTAAAGCCCATAAGGTTCCTGTCCAAAGCAAGAGGAAAGGGAACTCGCCATCTGGAGCACCTACTATGTGCCACCGTGTCATATGCTCGTCAGCCCCGCAGGTAAATGACACATGTCCCAGAGGAAGGAACTGCAGCTAAGGGAGACAGGAAACCACCGCCCAGCAGACAACGTCAGGAAGGGCCTTCCACCTTGCTGCCCAGCAAGGAGCCACCAGGACCTGGGTCCCCCTGCAGCCCCAGGGCTGTGGCCTCCCAACAGCCCCACTGGGTTGGAGGGGTGAGGCCACAGGCGGCCAGGCAGGCGGCGGGCATGGTAGAAATGCCCACTGAACCGAACTGAACGAGGCCAGGTCTCCAGATGCGCCCAGGCGGTCCTGAAAAGAGGCTAACGCTGCAGCTGCTGGCTCCAGCCGGTCGGCAGCTGGTCCTGGACTGACATTCAGGATGAAGATTCGGGGACGTGAGCACGGCTCCCCCGGAGCACCGTGCTGGCCCCAGCTTCTCCTTCAGCACAGGCGGGAGGCCCGACCCCGCGCCTGCCCGCGGCCCTGACCTGCGCGTGCACTCAACAAGTCCGGAGGCTCCCCGTGCCACCACGTCTAACTTGGGTGACATCGAGCCGGGCCAGGAGCGCCCGCAGCACGACGACCGGACGGCCCGCCAGGTGCGGGGCGCCCCAGCCCTCCTCCCACAGGTGGTCGCCTGAGCGGCCGGGTCCCCGCGGGGCGCTGCCCTCCGCGCGGCGCGCCTGCGACCCCGAGCGCGCCCCCGCCCCCCGACTGCCAGTGGGGCGCCCCGGCCTCCCAGCCCACCCGGCTTCCGGCGCCGCAGTTGCCCGGCGACGCGGGGCCCGCGCCGCCGCCCCCCGCCCGCCGCCAACTTTCCTCCCAAGTTTCCCCGGGGCCGCGGGCTGGCGGGCCGGCGGGGCGGACGGCGGGGGTCGGGCCGGGGTTGGGGAGCGGGGGCCGGGGCCGGGCCTGGCCGGCGGGCGGGGAACACGGGACCTCGGCTCCCCTCCCCCCCACCCCCCGGCCCCGCCCGGCCTCCCGCCCGCCCAACGCCCGCCCGAACCCCGCCGACGCAGGGCCGAGGTCCCGGGCCGCTCACCTGGACCGCGGTCCCTCCGGCGCCCGCCGAGCCTCGCCGCCCACCCCGCCCCCGCCCCGCAGGCCCGCGACCCGCTGACACCGAGGCGGAAGTGCGGCCGGCCGCCGGGCAGACTGACAGCCCGCGCTCGCCACTCGCAGCGCCCGGCGCCAGAGCGTCAGCCGCCGCCCGCCCAATCAGCGCCCTGCCCGAGGGTCGCGCCGGGAGGCGGGACTATGCTACTCGTTTCGCGGGAGCGACAACCCCCCCCGCCCCTTGGGAGTCCCGCCCAGGCGGAAGAGTGATGTCACGGACAGCCAGTCACAGCAGGGAGAGGCGGGGTTATGCAGATATTGACCCTAAAGGGGCGGGAGAGAGGGAGGAAGGGGCGTGGCTGGACGAGTTGAGTTTACAAACAGCGAGTCAGGTGGCGGGGGCGCTCCGCGGGCAGGTAGCTCTGCGCCCGCAGTTCCCAACTCCTAGGGACGGGCGGAGGCGGGAATCATCCTCCCAAAGCTGTCCCCCTCAGCTCAGGCGTCTTGGGGCTCCCCATCGTCCACCCTTCTTGGCATACCATTCATCTCTCATCAAAACTCGGCACCAATTTACCCTCTGGCTGCATTCCTGACAGTTCATTCCTCTGTTTAAAACCCGCTGATCTGTAGTGGCTCCGTGATGGAGCCCAGAAGCTCTGGAGTCAGACCCTGAGTTTGCATCCTTATCAGCTGTGTGGCTTTGGGCAAGTTGAATAATCTCCCTGAGCCTATGAGCACCCGGATTTTCCTTTGCAAACCATATTTCTCCCACCCTCATCCCATTTAAATCGTGGGTCTGGTTTGGAGTAACAGGAACCAGGCCAGTTGCTCAGAGTCATGGCACCTGGTTCAGGGGTGAGCAAGAGACCCTGTCCTGGCCAATGAGGGTCAGCCCTGGGACTTCTGCAGGGAGTCAGAGAGCTCAGGCCAGAAGGAAGGCTGAGGCCAAATGACTCTCCCATCTACCCACAGACCTCTCCAGAAGGAACTAGGCTGGGTGAGAGAAGGATGCATGTCTGGAGCTACTAGTGGGCAACTTGCCACCATGAGGGGAGAAGCCACCAAGGAATGAAGCCAGCCCAGAGGAGCGCAAAAGCAGATATCCTGGTCACCTGGAAGAGCTACACCTGAAGCAAGCTCTGCCCTAGACTTTTCAGTTATATGAGCTATTCTGTTTTCTTTGCTGCTTAAGCCTGTTAGAGTACAAAGGAGTACCAGGTCCCTGCAACCCTGAGAGGACCGATAGACTACCAGTGACCATGTGGTACATTGAAATGGCTCTGCTCATTGCCGCCTCTTCCACAAAGCCAGACCCACTGGAGCCTCTGCACTCCCTCCTCAGAACGTGATTCCTCATTCCTAGCAAGGAGGAGGGACTGACATGTCGCCCCAGCAGGACTAGGGGTGCCTTGAGGGCAGGAGCAGGTCTTGGTTGCCCCCTAAAAATGAGGGCCTGAGAGAGTGGATGGGGTCTCTGGCATGGGGGGGCCCAGGCTGCATTTCTGGGCCCAGAAAGCCTGTCATCCCCCATCCTAGAGGCTGGCCCGGCTCACTGGTGGGCCCTGTCAGCCGCGCCGCTGGTGTGCTGGGACTGAAAAGGAGCTCTCCCAACCTCTGCTGTAGAGAGAAACCGGGAGGGGGCGGGGCCAGGCCTCAGAAACAAAGGCGTTGCCATGGTTACCCCTGAAGAAACCGACCCCAGCAGGCATGGAAGGTGCGTGCAGGCCCCCAAGCCAGGACAAGGACAAGGCTCGTTGCCATGGAGATACTCCAAAGCTTCCCTTGTGGGCCTGGCCCAAGTCCAATGCAGGGTCCCAGAACCACCATCCATCACCCTGATGAGTCTCCAAGACTCTGACCTAATGCAAAGGACATGCCCGGAGGGGTTCAACCTACTGGCCCACCCCTCAGCCATGACCTCTGGGGCGAGTGCAACATCAGAGAGCTTACAGCAGAGGAGAGGCTTGAGTGGACAGTCTCCTGTCTGCCCACGGACCACAGTGGGGCGGAGCTTGACCGCCTCTGCCCTGGCCTTGGGGTCGGGTAGGGTCTGACCGCAGTTGGGCCCTGCAGCTGGGATATCAGTTTACCCCCTTTAAACAGATGCAATAAACCGAATTCCAAGGGTCAGCTGCTGGTCCTCCCTGATCCTCATGGCCAGGATTGAGTGGGGATCCCCTCTCGGTTGATGGCTGGAAGGATGGTGCATGGGACCAAATCAGGAGCAATTTTCATGATCTTCACTGGGTCAAGAGGCTGATTCCAGAGGCAAAATTCTCTAAGAATGGGATGGAAGACAGGAGCAGAAGAGGAGACAGAGGGTTTGGGGCCATGCAGTGATCATGGTGGTGATGACAGCTGGTGTTCTCCAGGGTCCAGGGGCTTACGTGTGCGCAACAGCCAATCAAGTAGGTGCTGTGTGCCAGGTCCACTGTGCAGAGGCTCAGACTGAGCCTCAGGCCCAGAAAGTGACTCACCTCAGGCCTGCGGGGAGGAAGTGGTCCAGGCACCACGTGGTTCTGCAGACCCATGGCCCAGCATGGCCCATGAGCTTGTTGAAAAGGCTGAAGAGGACCTTCCCAGACCTCTCTGCCTGGGGTCTGCACCTGAATAAGACGCCCAGGTGTTCCTGGGTGGCTGGGACCTCTGGGGGGGCTCATGGGTCCTGATATCAACTGACTGATCACCTTCCCCATGGCAAGAGGCTTGTGCCAGAGTCTCCTCCATCCTGAGCACTCAGGTCTGGCTTGACTCCCAGAATCCATCCATGTATGTGCTCTCAGAACTTTGAGAAGTGCTGGGCTAGTAGATAACCTTTGGGGTGTCTGCTCCCACTGGAACTGCTCTCAGACCAGGCCAAGCCCAAGAGCAACCCTATAGTCACGTCTGCCTGTCACTCACCACCCCAGAATTGGATCCTCCCAGTCCCAGCTCCTGCATGAGCATCAGTTGGTACCATGACCCACAAGCCCTGTGGGTGGCTGACCTGTGGGCCCAGAGCCTGGGCTCCCCAAAGTCCCCAACTGTGGGCACATGTGCCCCGACCTGCCCTCAGGAAGCACATTCACCTGCATTGTCCTCCTTCCATTTCTGTCTCACCATGAGGAGGCAGAACAGAGATGATCGCTCCCCCTTCAGACGGGGAAACTGAGGCTCAGGGAGCAGAGCAACTTGCCCACTGCAGAGCAGGTCTGCAGCCAGAGCTACCCCGTTAGCCTACCGGGGCTGGTTGCTCAAGAGTGCTGGGCGCCCAGCGTTGCTGGCCTGGCCTTTGCTCTGCAGGGGGCGCGGCCTGAACTCACTCCTTTCCCTGCCCCACCCCCAGGCCTTTGGAAGGGACATCTTCCAGTCCCTCCTGTGGAATGCTGGGGCATCTTTCTTCTGGATGCAGCCAGGACGGCCAGAGAGCGCTGGTCACTGAGGCCTGGCCCTGGCCCTCACGTGCCCCAAGCAGATCCTTCCCCATGCAACTTTCTCATCTCTGCAACGTGACAGCGCTCGGCTTCCCCATCGTCGGAGGAGAGTATTTTTAGTTTTGAACCCACCACGTGAAGAGAGACAAGTTATCAATAGCAGCGGCAAAGGGCTTTTTCTTTTTTTTCCCCATGGCTTTGGGACCTGAGCAATCTGCACCCGTTGAATTCTGCCAAAAGAAAAAGAGATGCATTCCTCTTACCAACTTTTTACCCTGCGGCTTCCTCACCGCTGAGGCTCTGCCAGCCGACTCTTCCCTGCTCGACCCCACCTGATTCAGCAGTGCCCTCCGGCTCTGGGGGAGGAAGGTGGCCCTGAGGTCAGTCTGCCCCAGGAAGGAATGGGCAGGAGTGAGCTGACCCCCAGGGGCCGAGACAAAGGGCAAGGCAGAGGCCAGAACAAGCAGGCATGAGGGGCCTGGTGGGGCCCTGACTTCCATGCTCATAGAGTTGACATAGGCCCCATTTCTAGCTTCAGTAGGCCCACAGGTCAGCCACCCACAGGGCTTGTGGGTCATGGTACCAACTGATGCTCATTAGCATTTATTGAGCACTTACTGTTGTACCCAGTGGCAGCCCAGCATCTGTGAGTGCACCTTCCCAAACCAGGTGCCATGAATCCCAAGGACTTTCTGTTATTAGGTGTTTCTGGAGGAAAGCGTTCCGTGGTCAAGTAGGTTTTGGGAAAGCTATTTAAATAAAGCCAACAAATGTCCCCCTCCAAGGCAGGGGGTCCCAGGACCCTTCTCATTCTGGTGTATGTGGGAGCCTCCCAGAGACAGAAGGCCCAGCTGCAGACCCAGGATTTATTGGAACTAGGAACCTTTTTTCATGGAGTGTTTTGCACAATCCTGGAGTGGCCTCCTACCTTGCTGGGGGAACATTCGGACCAATTTGGCTGTCTGCCCTTTAGGACTAGTTGGAGCTGCATATATAGAAACTCAGAATAACACAAGATAGAAATGTACTTCTGTCTTGCATGACAGAAGCCCAGGCTGTCCAGGGCTGACATGGGGCCATGCATCATCAAGGACCCACTTCCTACCCTGTTGTGCCACTTTTCTAGAGCTAGCGTCCATCCTCACATTCACCTCATGGCCCAAGATGGCTGCGGGCACTCCAGCTATCTCATGCATATTCGACCAGGAAGAAGGAGGCAGAGAGAGAAGCAGCACAGAAGTGCTGCCCCACCAGGAGAGTCAGCTCTCTTTGAGGGTCTGTCCCTGAGAGCGCCAGGCACTTCTGCTCACATCTCACTGGCCAGAACTGCATCCCATGCCATTCTTGGTGGGACAGTAGCATTTTAAGCTGAGTGCACTGCCAGCCTGAACAAAACAGAGGACCCAGGGGAGAAGGTTATGGGTGGGCACTGGTCAGAGGACCTGCCTGCTGGCCTCTCTGAACGGAGACCTCTGAGACCACCCAGCGTCCTGTGGCTCCCAGGTCTGCTCCAGCTGCGGCCAGGGCGGGGGCAGAGAAGTGTGGACACCTCACAAGATGGGCTCTGGGAAGAAGAGGCAGCACCGGACCCGAGGGAGAGCTCTTGGCTCCAGTCTCCGACTCCCTTGCTGCACACGGCTTGTGCCCCGTGCCTGGTGGATGCTCAGCCTTGTACCCGAGC